GACCAATATCAATAAGAGTCTAACAATACTATTAACTTGTATTTATTTAAATAAAAATTGCTGACAAAAAGGCACCTTAAAAATAATGCTAACAAATATAATTTCTACAGTCAACATTCTGCATTGGATGTAGCATTCTGAAAAGCAGTAGGATAGGTAAATAAGGTAGTTCAAAAAAATCTCATTACCTTTAATCTGCTGTGGTCAACAATTACTGGGGGTACAGGATCCAATGGTTCCTCTGGAACGTGTTCCAGACTTGCAGATTTTGGCTGCTCCAGAGTGACTTTTCTAGATTTCTTACCTTTGGATGCACCTGCAGTTTGGACAAAAAAATACCACCATATCAAAAGACAGATGGCAGAAAATTGCGTTACTATTAGACAACAAAAATCTCTATACCTTCAAATATGATGAAACAAAGTCATGCAACAAACATCTCACAGCACTTTCTATTATTCAAGCGCTGTGTTGTCTAGGCATTCAAATTCAGAAGTGTGTTTGCATTACTACCGACAGACCCAGAAAGCATGGATTCATGAGTATCAGTTATGTGGCTTATCAACACCTAGCAACTTCCTTATGGTCATACAATTTAAAGCAGAAGGAGCCATTACAGACATGCAATCCGAAGAGACTAACTGGCCAGTAAAACCTGTAGCTAGCCCATAACTTCTGGTTGCACTACAGTACATCAAAAGACTTGATCTTGACTTTAAAAAATTAAACTGATAGATAATTCACTATATTCCAAAGTGTAATTCCAGTATTTAATTGAAAAAGGACTTTCCCATCTCCAAGCTGATTTTGCCAAACCCCAGGCAACTGAGTTTCCAGCTACTGTAACTGCCATAGGTCTAATTCCGCTATTTTTTGTTCACCACTTCTACCTCCACTATATTTTATACCTTTTAGATCCTATGGTATAGCATCCTTCTTCCATGTAGAGGACTGGATGACAGGACTATCTTTAGAGGCAACACCACTTTCTTAAGGGCCCCCAGAGGGATTAATGTTTGTGCGACTAATTTCTTTATTCTAGCAACATTTTGAACCCCAGAATTATAAAAAAAAAAAAGGTTAAAGCCAGAAGAGATTTAATATGCCCAATTCCCAAACATGAGCTACTCAATGCTTCTTTTGTGGAAGTAGTAGTGAATGATTTTTCAAAGTTACTGTCTAGGTTCTCAGGTGCATCTTTACCAAAAACAGCTGGAAAAATTGCTTATAAACTGTTGATTCATTTTAATTTAATTTAATTAAACTGTAGTTTAATTTTAAATGTTTTAACTCATGCTTGTTAAGTACTCATACTACAGAGATTAACACTGATTCAGGATCTTTAACTGCTAGTGTCACTGGACATTTCAACTCCATTTGACAAGATCAAACTGACAAAGAGAATTACTTTGGCAGAACTGACTCCGACATGGCTTGGCTCTATTTCTCATGCCGCTCAGCAACGGGCTCACTGGATCAGTTCAGTTCGTTACTCACTTCCCTGGGAGGTGGTGTCCCTGTTAAAAGATCTTAGATCCTCTTGTCTTTCATTTTTACTTGGTTCCATTTTAAACAAGTGTTAAGAGGATTCACTGCTGGGTAGATGGCACACTGACATGGCAACTACTGACTTATTCAGGTTGCATGTCCAACTCAGGCAAATTCTTTACGTGAAAGAAAGCAGTGGATTTGTTAATTTTATTAAATGACAAACAAATAAAGCATTGCCATTAATAAGCTCAAACTAACAACTGAGCAATACCCTGGGCTTTGCAATTCCTATCAGCAATGCTATTGTGACAGCAATGTTAAATATAAAGGTCCAGTTAGTCTATCATCGGATGTAATTTCTTATCTTTGGGTTCATTATTGCCTCTGGTTGGCTATGTAAGAAATAACGCTGTGGTCCCCTCTGCTTGAAACAAGAGCCTAATAGCTGCTGGTGTCCTAGGTGGGTTCAATTCTATAAAGATATAGTTTCCTGTTTGCTGGCAACCATCACTTATTACAGGAGAATGCTATTCATCCACAACAAAGCAGCATATATCTTTACAGATAAAAGTCAAAACACCCTGAGCTTGAAAAGTTCAGTGAACTTCTCCGTCAGTATTAATGTTCTTTTAACTTTAAAACTTCTGAGGCAGGATTCCAGACTGAATAACCCTTATGTGTTCCATTGTCCCCTTATAGCCCGAGATGACCAATCAACCCACTTACTCCTATCAGAGATTTCTGGTGGACAGAGCAAGATTTCGTAACTACACACCAAATGTATAGTACATGTTCCTAAAATCCCCAGCTGATACCAGAATTGAACAGTACTTTAAAGAAACCTCTGTTGCAGCTTTTAACCATTCTAAGCTACCTGTGTTCATATAACTGTATTACATTGTACTTCAAGACTTTTAAGGGTGCCTATGTTGAGGATGCATTCCATCTTCACCCCCTGAAGGAACACCCAAGCACTCCCAGCAAATGTCCGAAGGGGGTTTATAAAAGGGAGGCCCATATGAGAACATACAGGATGAGGAACCTCTCAAGTCCATACCAAAGTGCAAAGCCCTTAGTTTCATTTACTTGCAGCATTTCTTTTCCCTAAAGTTCCCCAAAAGCCCCTACACTCAGGACACTCAAAATACTACAATTCCTGGAACCAGAGACAGGGGATAAAATTCTCTTCTCCCTCCAGGGCCTTATGCGTAGGGTGACCACACATTCTGGTTTGGCCAGGACTGTCCTGGATTTTGAAGACCATCCCCAGATGGTTGGGGATAATTAAAACGAGTCCTGGGTGTGGGGCACAGTCTAGTGGGAAGGCAGAGCAGCATGCAAGCCAGGCAACTCCACCTCCCCACCAGACTGTGCCCACAGCCTTGCCTGCCTCTGCCTGCAGCAGCATCGCTGATGGGAGAGGGGGAGGTATCCCAGATTTCTTTATGGTTACTCTACTTATGTGCCACCTCCATGGTTCTCCAAAGCTTTTAACAAGCTCTAGGAACAAGGGGCAATTTGGTTCCGAAGTCACACTACTGTTAACTCAGCTCCGTGCCTCATTTCAAGTTTCCTCCTTCACTCGGCTCTTTCACAACCTGGCAGAGAACTGTACCCACATTCCTGAACAGGATCCTTCCTAGGAGAGATGACAGGAACAACAAAGTGAAAATGCCAACTGCAATCCCCTCCTGCTGGGTCATTAGAGCATCACCCCCACTGCTGCAATGAGCAGCAGACTATTCATTTGTCTCCTCTTCCTTTCCTTTGTCCAAGCACAGATGCAGTTCTCTATAGTGACATTTTTTCATTGGGAAATTTCAAACAACTGGCCCAGAAATAGGACAATATGGAACTGTGTCAATCCCTCACTTAAGCCATGGAAATAATTTACTTAAAAAACAACAACTCCAAAGTGCTTTCGGATGGTCAAACCAAAGAGTATCAGCTGTAGAGGAACATGTCCCACCACAGCTGATTGGGTTATGTGTTCCCTTTGCCAGATTATTCCCTGCCTCCCTCACTGCCCCATACCTCCTTGCCAGGATTTGCGCTGACCCATCCCTCTGGGTGAAGCACAAGTCGGCACAGGTACTGGTAAGGTGGTGTGGGGCACTGTGGCACAAAGGCAAGGAAAGGTGACATCTATTTCCACCCTTTGGGTACCAAGTTCATTTTTTAAACTGATGATCATGAAGATCCCACCAGTGTTCATCTTCAATGTCATTGTTATATAGCTTCCTAAAGGTTTATTTATATCCATAGAAATGCATAGCACAAAGATATACATTGACCTGCTGAGTTTTAACATTAAAAATTACTATGGGGAAGTAAAGATGTAAAGTCACCAAAAAGCAGAAGGGTTTTTGTTGTTCTTGTTGTTATATTTTATACATTAAAGGTGTTGCCCAAAAATACTGTTCCTCTTTCTACAATCTCCAAGATTGATTCCTGTCTCCATCTCATCTCAAGAATTTAAAACTACTTTTCTTCTGGCAATCCTGACCGTCAGCAAGGCGTTCTTCAGTCTATCCAGAATTCAAATTGTAAAATTACTTCTTTCTCTAGCGCTCAAACCACACTACTACCCCTTCTCCACTTCAATCCCTTCATTGACTGCTGCTCATCTTCCCGCTTAAATTGAAGATTTTGTTCCTCACCTACAGGCCCTACAAAATCCATTCCTGATGACACCTGTTCTATTTCTCATGCACCGTGCATCTGGAGCACACTCTTCATCTCTTATTTCTTATCACTCATTTATACACATTCTTCCATGCTACCTATCCTTAAAAAACAAACAAACAAAGAGTCTCATCATTCAAACCCTCAGCAACACTCACTTCGTTTACAAACAGTAACACTGATCTTTGATATTAAAATACTTAATTTTTGTATATATTAAAACATAATAAACAAACTATCACAGCTTTTACATCTCTTCCCTCAAGAAACTTTGCCCCCCAAAGAAAACTGCCCCTCCTTTTCCTTTTATTCATCGGTGTCCTTCCCTTTCCCTTGTTTTTTTTTTTGCACATGACATGGTCATTGCATCGCAGTCTCTGGAAAATGCTTAAATCAGGAACCTTTACTTGCAAAGCACTACGAACACCTCACTTATGGCTAGGTAGAGACATGCTGAAAGCCCAGGGCTGAATTGATTTAAGTTACAGTTTTCTGCAAGTGGTATAGTTAGGTAAGTAGCAAACAGAACACACCATTTGTCCTTTGGTGTGTGTGTGGGGGTATAAAACTTAGACCAGGTACAGCTATTTTTAAACCAGTCTATGCATGCAGAACTTCTGTTCTGTTACAGGTATAAACCAGTTTTCTGTGCCAGATTTCCAATCACTTATACCGGTAAAAGTGTAATGTTGGTACCTGGCCTATGAGAGGAACAATTGCTTTTATTCTCAATTTATAAAAACAAGGACTCCTGATAATCTGATTTTATCAGAACCCTACAGATTTGTAATAAGATTATAGTCTATTTCACTAGATTCAAACCCAGTGATAGCTGTCCTGTAAATTCTTGGATAAGGAGGCACATGGAGCCACACCATAGTGAACCCTGTCTCAGTGATAGTTTAGAAATACTCCAATTATCCTCAGTATAATATTACCTCAGTATCTGCAATATTCCCCAGAAAGCTTATAGATGTATACAGAATACTGTCAATAAAGAGTTAAACTTATTTATCTAAGATGGTTGTTCTCAACTTTTTTTTTTTTTTTTTTTTTAATATTCAAGGCATGCCTCAGAAAATGCCAGCCAGCTCTTAGCTTGCATTTTTTTTACTACAGAAAAAGTAATACAGCAAATCTTCTGTTGCAAAGAAATTGGAAAGATGCAACAGGTTTTTGACACTATGGATTTAGGAATTTCTGGTTTATTTCATGAATCATGTTTGCACACTTAAGCTAACATTGTGAGATCCTGTGGCCCCTTTGAAAGGATCTCAAGGTACTTCAGGGTGCCATGGCACCGTGGTTGAGAATTACTAATCTAAGGCAACATTAATTTCATAGACATTAGGGCTGGAAGGGACCTTGGAAGA